AAACTGGGGCGCGCAAAATCACACACAATGAATAGGCTTGTCACCCAAAAATCCCCCCGTTCTGCGGGACACTCCCTCTTTGCCTGTGTCGTGGTCCACTCCCCCCCATCATTCGCGGTCGTTTGACGAACAAGTACACCGTTGGTGTTCCGTGGGAAAAAAAACCTTTTTTAAAAAACCACCCCCCCTTTCGCCTGGGCCCCCCCCCCCCCCCCCACCACACACACACACATACATACATCGTTCAACTGCCTCTTCCATTCTCTCTGCCATATGTCGTGTTACGTTTGTGCTTGCGCTTGCGCCTGCACTTGCGCTTGCCCTAGCCCAGACTTCAGCAGGGAAAGGAAGGAGGGTAGACAGGCGAGGACGACAAGTGGCGCAAGGTGTCACCGTCGGCGTCTGCCTCTGCCCCCGCCTCAATGTGTTCTACCGGGGATCGGAAGGCGCCGGGTGGGGCGCCAGATCAGGAGGATGAGGCGTGCTCTGCTGGAGCGTGCTTTAACAACGTCACGACTGGATGGCCTCGGTGGCATAGACGCGAGTGAACGACTGGTGGACGTAGGAGCGGAGCTGGAGGGCGTAGTTGTTGACGTTGGACGAGGCGAGCAGAGCCTCGAGGCGCGACGAGACGTCCGGCAGCGAGCCAAAGCGCTTGTGGATGTCGGTCTCGGGAATGGGCGCCTCGCCGTCGGCGCGGCGGGCCTCGTTCTCGGCGCGGCGGCGCTTGAGCTGCTCGTCGCGATGGGCGACGCGGTTCTTGAAGTAGATGTAGTTGCCCTGGCCCTGGTTGAAGGTGTCGATGGCTTCGAGGAGGTACTCCATGTTCTTCTCGAGGAAGACAGCCGACTCGAGGTCGAAGCGGTCAAAGACCACGTCGTCGACGTTCTGGAACGAGTCCTGCATCTCGAGCAGGAAGGCGTTGACCAGCGGCGAGTTGTAGATGCGGATCGGCCGCTCGGTGTAGATGTCCCGGAACGACAGGTCCGAGTCCAGCAGGTCGTCGGCAGAGAACTTCTTGCCCTTGAACAGCGTCATGAACGCCTCGGTCAGCTGGAAGGCCCGGAGGCAGACAGAGCCCTTGCGGGTCCGCAGCGGATCGTACACAATGAGCACCGCGCCCGGGTTCGCCGTCTGGTAGTCAAACTGCGTAATGATGCTCTGCGTCAGGTTCGACCCGATAATCGACGTCGTGTACCACCCCACAGCGTTGGCGTCCACGTTGACGAGCTTGAGAAAGTGCATGGTCTTGTTGACAAACTCGCCGAGGTCCGTCCGCCGCGTCCCCAGCATCTCCTTGAGCGCGTTCCGCCGCTGATGCCGCGAGTACCGCGACTGGAAAATAGAGTCCTCCTCCTCGTCGTCCTCGTGCGGGAACGGGAAGCAGTTGGTCACCTCGAGCGTAGCCTCCACGTCCAGCCCCAGCAGCTGTCCCCCAGCCAGCCGCGGGAGCGACTCCTGGCAATGCCGAATGATCTTAAGCGCAGCAAGGGCGTCCATTTGGACAACCTCCGGAACAACAGCAGCAGATGCAGACATCCTCCCACTTATCCTTTGCTCTCTATCCTCACTGTCAGTCTCCCCACCCCTACCGCCCATACCGCCCCCCCCCCCTTCCACTCCCTGCCTCTCTCCCATCCCTTGATTATTTGCCTTCCACCCGCTGCCCTCCCCCTGGCAACCCTACCATGGCTTCCACCGCCCAGCACACCATCCCCCTCTGTCGCCTCTTCACTCGAGTAACCTTCTCTCGCCATGCTACCCTTGCTCCCTCACACGCCCAACTCCTCTGTCGCTCTCGTACCTCGCAACAAGACCAAGTGGTGTGTGTGCGTCGCCCGGTCGAACGAGTCGGCGTCGGATCGACAGCAACTCGCCGCCCACCCACTCGCCGCCGAGGTTAAACGAGCCTGGCTCCAACGACCCACTTGCCAAGCAAACACCACCAGCCTCCTCCTCCACCAACATCACCAACATCATCAACATCATCATCATCGCCGTCATCGTTATCCAACATGTAACCTTTGTCTATCCTTTGCCGAGAGCCGCTCTCGGCTAAGCCTGATGCTATGGTTGAGCTTTACCATACGACCACGACCACGACCACGACCACATCTGGCACCTTGGCACCTTGGCAGCTTAGGAAGAGTACTCGTCAGAGTCCGAGTCCGAGTCCGAGACCGTGGTGAGCGAGGCCGTCGACGGCACCGGCTGCTTGGCCTTCTTGGACGTCTTCTTGGACGTCTTCTTGGACGCCTTCTTGGATGCAGAAGTGGACGACTTCTTGGACGCCTTCTTGACCGGTGCGGGCTTGCCCTTGCTCGCCCCCTTCTTGGACGACTTCTTCGCCGCCTTCTTCTCGATGGCCGCCATCTTGGCCGACCCGACCATGTGCAGCTTGCCGTCGATAAAGTCGATCGACGCCTGGGTGGCAAACAGCGGCGAGTGCCGCGGGATGGGCAGGAACTGGAAGAGCACGTTGACGCAGCCCCAAACAAACGAGACAACTGCAGTCACAAGCGCAAAGTCCTCCTCGCCCAGCGCGAGCGCGCCGAGGAAGATGAGCAGGACGCCCATGCCAAAGTAGTCGCGGATGCAACCGCCAAACGTGTAGAACAGCATCGGCCGCACAAACTCGGACGAGATGATGATCAGGCAGAAGAGCCTGCCGTACTCCATCAACATCCACATACCCCACCTCGCCGTAAGTATCACATTCCACACCTACCTCCCCAAACCCCTCACAATCACACCATTGCCACCGCTTTCACCTACACCAGAAACACGCCGACCACCACACTGCGGATCTCCTCCGCCGGAATGATCAGCTCGATCACCGCATACGTTCCGATCAGAATCGCTGCAAGCCCAACCCAAGAGCCCCACCCGCCATTCACATCGTGAGTATCAAGCCATCCTCCCTCCTCGCCCCCCCCCTCAAAAAAAAACAAGCGCTTTCAACCATTTCGTTTGCCCAACAGCTTCCCGCCCTCCCGCCGCTCTGGCCCGACGTGGTCCCAGCCGCTACTGGCCGGTCTCTTGCTTGCCACACTGACTGCAACCATACCCACAGCAATGTTCATGACAGCAATGATGATGTTAAGCACATTGCCCAGCTTGGTCTCGTTGTTCACGGCCATGTTTGCCTTGTCCAAGTTGGGTGTTCCCCGCACTCACCGCCAAACAGCCAACAGCAGCCGAACCTCTGTCCCTCACCCACAGCCACACAACTCCTCCAGTCCATCTGATCGACTACTGATGACACAAGTTCCATAGGCAGACCATCACAATATGAACAACCGACATCATCCCCTTCCTCCCCTCCTCCACACTCTACACCCATCGCCATCGTCCAGTCATATTGACCTGCCACAATCACGCACGACAGGCAGGCAGGCTGCTCCTACTTTGCTGCTCTAGTTCAGCTTCACCTGCTCGTCCACCCAAGATCGTACGGATCGGCCCATCTACCCGCCATCTACCCATCATTTACCCATCAGCAAGCCTGCCCAGGCCGGCCAGTCTGCCAGCCCGCCCGCCTGCTGACACGCCGCTCTTGCCAGGCGACAGCTGCTGACACTGCCACTTGGCCTCTCCCCCCTTCCACGTAGCCACACCCGACTACCTCCCCCCACCCCCAACACCCAACACCCAACACCCAACCCCTACCTCCTCCCCTTCTACACATATATCTGCCACACTCCTTCGCCCGGCATGGACTCTGCCCTTCAAAAGGCCATTTCCAAGGGAGCCAAGTTGAAGAAGGTCGAGACCAATGACCGGTCACAGGCGGCAGGTACGCAAGGCCACTGACATGCCCCTACACACTCCGTCCACACACAAACATGCCCACATGCTACATAGTGATTATCCCCCCCCTGCCTTTCTCCCCCCTCCCCTCCCCCCTCCCGTGACTGCTTGCCCCCCCCCCCACCCGCCCGGCCCGACTTGTCAGGCACGCGTGGCAGGTCGTTCAACCCCCGCAGCAGTGATACTCATGCAATGTTGTTGATGATGCGATGGGCGAGAGGGTGTAGTGGGTGGAAGAGTCATTGATGAGTCGTCGGCAAAGTCCTCGTCTTCACAGCCAAAGCCTCCGCCGCCCCCGGCTTCCTCGTCTGGTCCGCCGCCGCCGCCGCCTTCGGCCCCGCCGATGAAGCTGCCAGGCATGGCCCCGCCACCGCCGCCTGCTCCTGCATCGGCTGCATCTCCGCCGCCGCCACCGCCACCGTCTGCTCCGGCTCCGGCTGCGTCTCAGTCGACATCGCCGCCGCCGCCACCACCACCATCTGCGTCGTCGTCGTCGCCATCCGCAGCTGCTCGTGCGGGCGCGTCGTCGTCGTCGCCATCCGCAGCTGCTCGTGCGGGCGCGTCGTCGTCGGGCGCGCGCAAGGTCGAGGCGCTGTACGACTACAAAGCCGAAAACGACGACGATCTGGCGATGTTCCAGGGCGACATGGTGACAGTTCTGGAAGAGCCCGACGAGGACGGGTGGATGAAGGGCGCGCTGGGCGGAAAGGAGGGCTACTTTCCGGCGTCTTACGTCAAGGACGTGCCCGGGAGCGGAGCGCCGGGCGCAAGTCCTGGCAAAAGCAAGGCAGATGCGGCGCGGCCTGACTCGACGTACGACGAGCTGTTTGGCGACGACGAGAAGCTGGACAATGAGTTTGCGACCATGTTTGACGACTCGCAGAGCAACGCGAGTGAGGCTGGGGCCTCGGGTGGCCTTATGAGCATCGACGCCGGCGTGGCAACGTCGACGCTCGATTTCGGCTCGGAAGTTGTTCACGTTCACAACTCGAACCTCGCCGCCGAGGACAAGCTCGCCATCGATGACACCCACTGGTGGGAGCCGCGGGAGAAGTTCTACTCGGTGACTGTCGAGCAGCCGGAGACCAAGAAGAAGACGTTTGGCAAGAACAAGGAGCTATACGCGGTGGCAACGCCGGCCAAGGGATGGCGGCAGGTCCGCGCCATCCGCAGCTGCTCGTGCGGGCGCGTCGTCGTCGGGCGCGCGCAAGGTCGAGGCGCTGTGTTCAGCAAGGGCAAGCCGTCTGCTCACTTTCCGGTCGATCCGGCAGAGGACCGGCGGCGCCAGCTCGAGCGCTTCCTGCTCGAGGTCACCCGCCATCCTGTTCTCCGGGCCGCGCCGGCGCTGCGCCACTTTCTAGGCATGGCTGCCGATGGCTCCAAGTCGACCCGCAAGGCGTTCAAAGAGTCGCGGCGTAACATCGAGCGCGACCCGCTCGTCGGCAAGGCCTTCATCACTCGAGTGGCGGTCTACACCGACCCCAACTCCGCCGCCGGCTACAACTACATTGACGAGTACACCATGGGCTCCAACATGGCCACGCCGCTCCTCGCCGCGATCGAGGCCGCGTCGATCTCGGTCGGAAATGCGCAGCAGGTCTCGGCAGCCTCACTCAACGCCCTCGGCAAGGCGCTCAACACCTACCAGCACCCGGCCGACTCGCAGTCGCTCAAGACCGCCATCAAGGCCGTCGGCTCGGCCGCGTGTGAGACCGCCAAGCTCGAGAATGCGCACGCCACCGCCGAGAACGTCCTCATCCGCCGTATCCGCTCCGAGCACGGCGAACTCAAGAAGCAAGCCAAGGTCGCCGCTCTCGAATCCAAAACCCGCCGCAAGTTTGTCTCGGCCGTCCTCAAGCTGCAGAAGAAGGGCATCGAGGCCACCGCCCAGCAGCGCCAGGACACCCTCGCTCTCGGCGGCCTCATGCGCGCTCAGGCCTCAGTCTCGCTCGCAGAACTCCACCATCGCCAGCACACCAAGAACATCGACTTTAAGGCTGACCTCGCCCGCTACGCCGAGCTCCAGATCGAGTTTTACGAAGCCATGGCTGCCGAGTGGAAGAAGGCTGCCGGCGTCGTCGCCGAGATCGACGCCGACGACTCGTGGTTCCAGGAGTAGACACCGCACCACCGCGATATGCCCACCGCACCACCTCCACTGTGACCACAGTGGTGGTATTGAACCTATCAGATCGCAAGTCGCTTGCCCACAATCCGTTGCCAAACACCACGCCGATCGTGTTGCGCAACAAACGAGAGCACTCGTTCGCACCCGCCCGTCTGCCGGCACGGCTCCATATGCACGCGCACACACACGCCACGCACACACACAGAAGCCACACCCCACTCACCCACCACAACCACAACAGCCTTCTGCACACTCACACCATGTCCCGACCGCCGCCTCCACCTCCGAACACAAGCCGTGCGGCACCGCCACCGCCGCCGGGACGTGGGGCTGAGCTGGAGGTCAAGGGAGATACGACATGGGGACACACCGATGGAGGTGTTGGTGGTGGTATGACGGAAGTGGGAGGTGGAAGTCTGCCGGCGTACCAGTCTGGGACTGGATATCCAGAGATGGGATCGAGGAAGAGCCTGGCCTTTGCCAACCCAAGAGCCGTCAATCTCAAGCCGTTTGTGTGGACAGGCAGGCTGTTCTCGCTGCTCCTGCTCATCACCTCCATCGCTGTCCTCATCTGGTTCTCCACACAAGCTGGCAATGCCCAGCAAGACGTCAAGAACTTTGTCAACAAGGACTCGATGCAGATCATCGGCATGATCCTCTTGCTCTGGCTCTCGTTTCTCGGCACGGTCGTCATGTCGCCGCCCAAGCTTGTCTTTACCGGCATCGGCGGCTTTCTCTTTGGCTACGTCTACTCGGTCCTTATTGTCTGGCTGGGGGCCATGCTCGGCCGCGCCGTCACCTACTTTCTCGGCACCGACGTCTTGCTCGACTCGATCGTCACCGTCTCCAACAACTATCCGTTCTTCAAGCGCGGCTGGGTCCAGATCATGGCCGCTCGCGAGACGTCGCTTTCGACCAAGGCTGGCCTCATCGTTGCTCTTCGCATGTCCAGCCTCTTTCCCGACGCGCTGCTCAACTACGCCGTCGCCATGACCCCGCTGCCGTTTATCCTCTGGTGGCTGGTGGTTGGCGGCTACACTGCCGCCATGTACACGCTGTATGGCTTCTGGGGCACGACCCTCGACTCGATCGTCAGCTCCATCTACCGTAAGAAGGCTCCCAGCGGCACTTTTTGGCTCTACGCCATTCTCGCCGTCCTCTTCACCGCCGCCTACATCGTCATCGCCAAGCTGGCCTCCAAGTGGCTCAACCGCGAGCTCGAGAACTATGCCGTGACCCATCCCGAGGCATCTGGCCTGCCTGCGCCTCAAACCGCCGTCTGATAAACGTGCGTTTGAGCCGCGCAAGGCAATACCAGCTGCAGCTCACGCTGCGTACGCCCCATGCACGATGCCTGATCGGCCCCGCCCCGAGCCGGTGCGTGTGATGATGACGACGAGCCGGTGCGTGTGATGATGACGACGACCCGGGTCAGGCACTGCCATCCGCATCTCAAGCCTTGCTTGCACGTCCTCGATCACATCCTCCGTCATCCCCTCGTCATCGATGACGTCGTCGTCGTCGTTGTCGTCGTCGTCATCGATGACGTCGTCGTCGTCGTTGTCGTCGTCGTCATCGGTCCACGCCGCAGCGTAGTACTCCCAGTTCTGCGCCATACTTGCGCATGTCGGCCTCGATCTGCGCCTGCCGCGCCCCTTCATCATCCTCGTCGTCATCATCGTCATCACCACTTCCGCCGCGACGCAGTGACGCGTCCTCGGGATGCGCCAGCTCGTACTCGTGGACGCAAGTGAGCGAAGCCCGCAGCGCATCGAAGCACGGCGTCTCCCGCATCGAGTCCAAGCATGGGCAGTCCCAGTTGATACCGCCGTCCTCGTTCACCGCCTCGCTCGGCACTGCCATGACGCACACCGGAGAGATGAGTGGCTGAGCGAGAGCCGCGAATGCCGCCCGCTGCCGGCTGCCCGCCGTCTGCTCCCGCCCAATGATCTACACTCTCTACCACACGACAGCAAGAAGCCCCAAATCAATCAAAGACACTCGCGGCCCTCCCCATCACCATACCTACCTCATGTTGCCCTTGATTCGCTCACCTGCTCATCCTGATGAAAATCGTGGCTGGGAACGTCGCCACATGTTCACTATGTCACCGAGATCGGATCATGTTTTCTGATCTTTTGTTCTGGCTTTCACACACTCGCGGTCATCGTCTGCTCAATCCATCGGGCTGCTCTCCCTCTACCAGCCTCATCACGGGCAATGTGGAAGCATACACCCTCGCAACTCTTGTTTTTACTTCCGCTTGGCCCGCTTGGACATCTTCTGCTGCTTGTCGCGCATCTTAAAGGTATGATCATTGAGGCGCTGGCGCTCGCGGTCGTGGGCGACCTGGTACATGTTGACGGCGCGGGACATGTCGATGCCGTCGTTGACCTTGACCTTCTTGTTGACGACGCGGTCAGCCACCTTTGCCAGCTTCTCCTTCTCGACGCCCTCGGCGCCGGTGACGGGCAGCTTCCGGCGCTTGGCCGACTTGAGCTTGGACTTGCGCTGGTTGCGGACCTTGTTGTCAAACTTGCCGTACGAGGCCGTGGAGACAGCCTGGACGGAGATGGCTGCGCGGAGCTGGTCTGTGGAGAGCTTCTCGCCGTGCATCTGGGTGACGAGCTCGCCCTGCGGGATCGACTTGCCGCCCTTCTTGCCGCGCTTGGTGCGGACAACGCCCGACGAGCCTGCCAGCGACTTGCCGGCCTTGCGCAGCATGTTGCGCTCCTCGTTCTTCTTCTGCTTCTCCACCCGCGCCTTCTTCTCCTTCTTGCGCCGCGAGAAGACCTCCTCAGCCGTGGCGTTGTCGCCGTCCTTGAGCTCGACCACCCACTCGGACTTGGCCTCCATGTCGGCCTTGGACTTGTATCCGTACCGCGGGATGTAGTCGCCAACCTCCTCGTCGAACACCATCTTGCTCCGCTTGCGCTTCTTGATGCCCTTGATCCGGGCAAACTCCTCCCACCGGGTCGGCTTGCGGGGCTCGGGCGCCTTGCGTGCCCGCGGCAGGCGAGTCGTCTTCTCCGGCAGCTCCACCAGCGTTGCCCGATCATGCGACTTGGACGGCAGCTCAAACAGGGCATTCACCATCAGCTGCACATTATCCCGAGAGAGCTCCTCCAGTGCCTTCTTTGACCTCGACTCGATGGGCGTGGTATCAAATGCCGTCAGATTGCCCAGGTCCATCTCCAACGGGAACTCCTTCTCCACATCCGTTGACTTGCTATCCTCCACCCATGTCATGCCATGTCATACATTCATTTCTCTCTCCATGAGTCCTCCCTCTGCCATGTCTCCCCTGCCCCCCCCCCTCGCCCCCCCCCCCCTGCTCCCTCCCCGCTCCCTGGTATCCAAAGATTAGAGATGGCCCTCTCAACCCATCCCATCACAAGTGGCCACCAGCCATACTACACCCGCCGCGCACCAGGCCACACCATGGAGAATAGAGCCATGTAAGGGAAGGGATTACATGGAATGCCTTCATCTTCTACGTACTACTTGGCCTTAGCCTTGGCAAGAATCGCCGACACGTCCATTGTGGCGGGGGCAAGTCAAGTCGATGCTGCAGCTGCTGGCGACTGCTAGTCGGCCTGATCAGTCGAGCGAGCCGACCACAGCCCCTCTCCCCCCCCACGTCTGCCACAGCCACGATCATGCACAAGTTCTTGGGTATGGACCCGATTACATCCCCTCCCTCTCTCATCTCCTTCTTCTCCCCGTCACATCATTCTCCTTTCATTTCCTCTCCTCTGGTCATCCCCTTGCCCACAATCAGACGGCAATCGCCATCATCCCAGCCGTCGCCGCTCTCCCCTCCCCCCACTCCCCCTCTTTCACGTTCCCCTCCGACTCCATCGATATACTCTCCAGCCCGCTTGATCACCTCGCACAACCATCCACCCTCACCACCACCAAAACTCTACCATATACGATCCGTCCCCCCCTTGCCCGATCCCGATCCCCACCCCCATCAACCCCCCCCCCCCCCCCCCCCCTCCCACTGGGATCGATCCGAAACGGACCATCTCGGCTCATCCATCCGCGGGCGGAGGAGGGAGCGAGTGACGACAGCACCGCACGTGGGTAAGTCGGGGGGAGTATGTCTGGACATAGGCCAACGTTGAAGCATGTGCACAAGCCCTTCAAGTCGTCGCATCGGACAAAGTCTGCTATCAAGAGGGCTTCTAGCTCGTTGAAGAACATGACGAGGAACTCGGTGAGGTCGGGGACCGGCTCACTTGCTGCCGACTACAAGGCCAATCGGAGGAACGCCTCTGCCCAAGCACGCAAGGCCAAGAAGGCCAAGAATGCCGTGACCAAGCGAGCTGGAACTGTTTCGGGTCCGCCGCGTGTGGTTCTTCTCCTTCCGCTCTCGCCCGAGCCTGGTGTCGGCACTCTTGATCTCCTCACCGCCCTGCTCGGGCCGTCGGTCCAGGGCCCGGATGTGCTCAAGACCGCCCTGCCTGTACTGGGTGCGCCGGTGACGGTGACCTATGAGGCGCTCAAGGCGCGGATCACGTACATTGTGGCACCGACCGAGTCGCCCATCGAGCTGCTGGATGCGCTGCGCGCTGCTGATGTCGTTGTGCCTGTCGTCGACGCCCTGGTTGGCGTCGACGACGATGCCCAGCTGCTGGTGTCGATGATGCTGGCGCAGGGCATGCCGACCGCGCTTCCGGTCCTTCGCAACCTCGAGCTTGTCGGCGGGCCGGCTAAGAACAAGTCGAAGACCCGCAAGGCCTTCAACCGGTTCATCTCGTCCAAGCTCGGGCCAGACGTCTCGTTCCACGTCCTCGACTCGGACGCCGCTGGTATCCGCTTCCTCCAGCTCCTCTCCAAGAGCAAGCTTCGTCGCATCCAGTGGCGCGACGCCCGCCCGTACCTGATGGCCGAGGCTGTGGCCTACGACGATGCCTCGCGCAAGCTCCGCATCAGCGGCTACCTCCGCGGCTCGCCGCTCTCGCCGAACCAGCTCGTTCATCTCCCGGGCAAGGGCACCTACCGCATCTCGGCCATTTACGAGGCGCCTGACCCTGTGCCGCTCAACCGGGCCCAGGCCCGCATGTCGGCCGAGCCGATGGCGGGCAGCGCCGAGGGCTATGCTCTCCTTGCCACCGCGGACGAGGCCAAGCTCCATCCGATGGAGCAGCTGCTCCCGCCTGAGGTCAACGAGGAGGAGGACGAGCTTGCGGCGCGGATGGCCGACTTTGACGACGACGACGGCGGCCTGCCTGACCCGTTCGGCGACTCGGGCTCCGACGACGGCCGCCCGGGCCTGCACTCGGCCTCGCGCGGCGCCAAGGCTATCGACCACATCAACGTTGTCCGCGCCGAGATCCAGTCGGACTGGGAGGCGTTTGTCGGCCTCGGGCCGGCCAACGACAGCGACAACGATGACGGCGAGGGCGTCGGCGCTGGCGCCGGTGCGGCCGGCGGTTCGGACGCAAGCGGCTCGGACGGCGAGTCGGACGACGACGAGCGCCCGCTCAACCCGGTCGAGGCCCTCGCCGCCCGGCAGGCCGAGGACTTTGAGTGGCCCGACGAGTTCTACGCGCCGCGGGCCCCGCTGTGCAAGGACCTCTTCCGCGAGTACCGCGGGCTCAAGAGCTTCACCAACTCGCCGTGGGATCCGTACGAGAACCTGCCGACCGAGTACTCGCAGATCTACGACTTTGAATCGTTCCCTCGGACGCAGAACGAGGTGCTTGACGAGGTCGAGAACGACGGCGTCGGCCTCGACGCGTACATTGTGATCGAGCTCGACGACGTGCCGCCGTCGGTCATGGCCTCGCTCACACCGACGGGCGTGCTCGTTGCCTTTGGCCTCTTCCGCTACGAGCGCCAGTTCTCGGTCCTCCACATGTCGGTCTCGCGCCACGCCTCGTTTGACGCCCCGCACGCCTCGGGTTCGCCGCTCATGGTCATGGTCGGCTTCCGCATGCTTGAGGCCGCGCCGCTGTTCTCATCAGACAATCCCAAGTGCGCCAAGGCCAAGTTTGAGCGCTTCCTTCAGCCAGGCCGCACACTCACGGCCTCGATCTACGGCCCGATCGTGTTTGGCCCCTCCATGCCTGTCTTTATGTTCCGCCTCAACGCCGACTCGCCCGTCCCGCAGCTCGTCGCCACCGGCTCGGTGGCCTCGATTAACCCGCAGAAGCTCATCATCAAGCGCATCGTCCTTATTGGCGAGCCGTTCCACATCCACAAGTCGCGCGCCACCGTCCGCCGCATGTTCTACTCGCCCGAGGACATCCGCTACTTTAAGAAGATCGAGTGCTACACCAAGTACGGCCGCCGCGGCCACATTACCGACTCGATCGGCACCCATGGATACATGAAGATGCAGTTTGATGGTGTCCTCGACGCCCGCGACACCATCTGCCTCCCGCTCTTCACCCGCCTCTTCCCGCGCAACAACACCCGCATTATCGATGCCGACACCGTCCTCGAGCCGCAGGACCAGGTCATCGAAGCCACTGCCCTCTCGCAGTACTAGTCCCACACCACCCGCGCTACTTGCATCTGCCGCAGAGCGCCACTAAAAAACCATCTGGAGTAGAGCCCCCCCCCTGCAGCCATTCTGCGCAATCGGTGAAACCGCCCAACGCGAGCCATCGCCCGTCCGCCGTCCGTCGTCACGGCGTCGCGTCCGTTGGCCCTGACTCGTCCAGCCACTCGACTCGACCTTCCTCCCCCCCCCCCCCCTCCCCAGCCCCACCTACCCACAAAGTCCAATTTCCGAGGCACACTCTATGGCTGCACCTTCCTGGTGCTACGACTCGCTGACCTCGGCAATGGGCCTGGGCGATGGCGAGCTTGAGCCCGAAGTCCATTGTGCTCGCTGCGTGTGCTCGCGGTGCAGTCCGTTGGCGGCAGAGGCCAGCAGATCGATGGACGACACCGAGGTGAACCAACCCCGCTCGCCGCTGATGCGGTACGGTCCAGGCCCAACACAAAGTCCGTGGAAGGCCGAGGTAGCATCGGCGCTGGCGCTTGTTGCTGCGCTGGAGAAGGAGGCCGCTCTCGCCCGTGCCCTCCTCGACACTCCGCCACCGTCAACCTCGCCGATCCGCCGCGACAGATGCGAGTGCGCGTGTCGATGCAGGTGCAGCGGTTGTCTCTGCCGCGGCGATGCGTGCGTCAAGTTGCGTGTGGCGTGCTTACCACCGGCGTGTGTGTGCGCCTGTGCGGAACCGCTAGCAGGCGCAACGCTCCAGCGATCAGCGCCGACCTGCTCGCCGCTGCGGCCGGGCAAGACGGCTGCCGAGGCTGCAGCCGAGTCACCACGATGGCTCTCTAGATGATGGATGATGACGCACGTGCTTTCGCTGCCTTTGTGCCAGCCTTGGCTCGATGCTCGCTCGCTCCAATTGCCTCGCCCGGCTTGGCGGCCCTCCACTCATGGCTCGGCGGGCGGGCTAGGCAAATCTCGCTCGGCTCGGCTCTGTGGGCTAACCTAGATCGGCTCGTCTCGGGCGACTCACGTGTTTTCAACTGCAGTAAAAGACACTAAAGGGCAAAGGCCTTGGACATAAAGGCCTCGATCTCAGCCTTGTGGGTGGCGGCGTGGGCGACGGCGACAGCGGCCATCGGCGGGCGGCCGGCGTACGAGAGGTGCTTGCGCGAGGAGATGATCTGGCGGAGGCGCGGGTCGACGTAGCGCCAGGCACCGTTGTTGGCCGGCTCCTCCTGGACCCAGACGTAGTTGTCGGCGCGCGAGTAGGAGTCGAGGATAGAGGCCATGGCGTCGAGCGGGAACGGGTGCAGCTCCTCGAGGCGGATGATGGCGGTCGAGTCAGTGAGGCCGGCCTCGTCGCGGCGCTTGACGAGGTCGTAGTAGATCTTGCCGGAGCAGAGGAGGACGCGGTCGACGGCGGCCTTGTCCTCGATAGACACATCGTCAAAGACCGGCTGGAAGGCGGTGCCCTCGGCCATGTCGGTGAGCGACGAGGTGCACTCGCGGAGGCGGAGGAGGGTCTTCGGCGAGATGATGATGAGCGGCTTGCGGAAGTCGCGGACCATCTGTCGGCGAAGGGCGTGGAAGTAGTTGGCAGGCGTCGTCGGGTTGATGACAAACATGTTGGGGTCCTTGGACGTGCACTTGATGTCGCCGTCGCAGAGCTGGAGGAAGCGCTCAATGCGGGCCGACGAGTGCTCGGGGCCGGCGCCGTCAAAGCCGTGCGGCAGCATGGTGACGAGCCCGTTCTGCCGGAGCCACTTTTGCTCGCCCGAGGCGATGAACTGGTCAAAGATGGTCTGCGCGCCGTTGGCAAAGTCGCCAAACTGCGCCTCCCACATGACCAGCGTCTTGGGGTCGTCCATGGCAAAGCCGTACTCAAAGCCCAGCACCGCCATCTCGGAGAGCGACGAGTTGGCAATGTGGAGCGTGCCCTGTCCGTCGACGCCGATATCGTTGAGCGGGACAACCCGCGACGACGAGCCCTGGTCGTAGAGGTACACGTGCCGGTGCGAGAACGTGCCGCGGCCGACGTCCTGTCCGGAGATGCGAACATCGTAGCCGTCAGCGAGGAGCGAGCCCCACGCGAGCGACTCGGCCGTCGCCCAGTCGAGGCCATCGCCGGCATCGAGCTTCTTCATCCGCGGCTTGCAGTAGAGCCGCGCAATGCGCGAGTGGAGGTAAAGTCGGACGGGACCGAGACCGAGGCCTTACCGATCGCGCGGAGCGTCTCGAGTGAGACGCCAGTCTCCACCGGCACCGTCGCGTCGTCGGTCTGCTTGAACTCGGCCCATTTGCCGCCCAGGTGGTTGGCGGGCGGAGTGTAGTCGGGCGACTCGGCGGCGGCGAGCCGCTCCTCGAGCTTGGCCTCTGCGGCGGCGGCTGAGGCCGTGATGATCTCGGGATCAGCCACGCCCTCGTCGGCGAGCTTTGCAGAGTACATCTTGGGCAGCGATTCGCGCTTGCGGATGGCCTCGTACATGAGCGGCTGCGTGAACGCCGGCTCGTCGAGCTCGTTGTGCCCGCGCCGGCGGTACGCCACCATGTCGACAATGATGTCGCGGTGGAACTTGGCGCGGAAGTCGACCGCCAGCTGCGACGCCGCGTACACAGCCTCGGGATTCTCGCCGTTGACGTGGAGGACAGGCGTGCAGACAACCTTGCCCACATCGGACGAGTACCGTGACGACCGGTAGTCGGCGTGTGACGCCGTAAAGCCGAGCTGGTTGTTGACGATGAGGTGGACGGTGCCGGCCGTCGAGTACGACGGCAGTGACGACATCATAAACGACTCCTGGATCACGCCCTGACCGGCAAACGCCGCATCGCCGTGCAGCATAAGGCACATGGCCGACGGGCCGAGCTCGCGCTGCCGCGAACGGACCTTGCCTAGCGCCACAGGGTTGGCGTGCTCGAGATGCGACGGGTTGTGGATGAGCGAGACGTGGAGCTCCGAGCCCGACTCGACCCGCGCCCCGCCGGCGTACGGCAGGTCCGTCGAGACCGCGAGGTGCGACAGCACATCGCCCGAGCCCCGGATGCCCTCGGGAATCTCAGACTTGCCCTTGAGCTTGCCAAAGATGAGCGCCGGATCGGTCTTGAGAAGGCCGGTCAGAAAGTTGAGCCGCCCGCGGTGCGGCATGACAATGGTCATGTCCGAGATCGAGTTGGCCGTCGACGCCTCAAACATGCCCTCCAGCGCCACGAGCATGGCCTCGGCGCCCTCCAGCCCGTACCGCTTCACAAAGGCAAACTTCTTCTGCATAAAGTTATCAAAGCCCTCAGACTCCACAAGGAGCTTGGCGAGCTCCGTCCGCTTGGAAGCGTCGACCAGCGCCGCAGGTTGCGTCCCACCGGCCATCGCCTCGACACGCTCGGTCAGCCACCGCCGCTCCACCGCGTCCGGCACGTGGAGCTCGGCGCCAATGTCGCCGGTAAACGCGGCCTGCAGATGGGCCACCACGTCCTTGACCGTCGCCTCGCTCTTGAAGCCTCCCGCGCCATCGGGCATGAACACAAGGCCGAGAGTCGACACAACCTGCTCGCCAGCCGCGCCCTCAACTTCAAGCCCGTAGTGAGCTGGATCCAGCTCCGGAATGTCCTCCCGCGGCACGACCGAGAGGCCGAGCGGGTCGAGCCTGGCTGCCGCGTGGCCACACGTCCGGTACGCCGAGGCCAGGCGGACCAGGTTGGCGTGGGTGTTCTGGTTTGTCCGCTCCTCGGCCGTCTCTGCCAGCACAAAGTAATTGCGACTGCCCATGAGCGAGTTGATCATCTGCCCGCTAGCCTTGCTCATGCCCATGGTCATCGCACGAGCCATGCCGGCCGACACGGCAGTGATCCCGCCGACCTGGGCCGTCTTCCCGCTCGCCACCTTGGCCACCCACGAGAGTGTCGAGTTCACAGCTCCCCACGAGACATGGGTGCTACGAAGCATCTTGAACTTGCTCTCCGCACTCCTACCAATTCCTGTAGTTGGGTACTCTTTCTACTCTCTGTTTGACGCGGTAGTAGCTACCGCTCCCTCACCCCACGATCGCATCGCGAGGCACCGGAGGGATCTTTTTTCCTTCATTCAGCCCTCCCAACCCCCACCCCACGCACATGCTGCAATCTCATGCGATGAGTATGCCATGGGGGGTGACAATGTCTAGGGCGCATGTGATGGACCACTACCGTTGAGATGAGGGAATCTCATCGATGAGGAGATGCGGGAGCCTGTTGGCGGAGGGTTTGCTCGTATCATCGACACGTCACGGGACGCGTTACTTCCCAGCGCCCTCCCCCCCCCCCCCCCCTCCCCCTGCACCCACTGCTTCTCCATGACAGCGGATGAGACGAGATGAGCCTTTTCTTGTATATCGAGCTGTGACAAGGGGAAAGGGGAGAAGGGCATATGATCGATGTTTTTGGGGTTGCAATTGAGCTCAACGATGGCAGTTGATCTGTTCAGCTGATGAGCCTACCATTGTTGCTGGCTTTGTCGGTGAGCAACACGGTACGAGCTGTGCCGACGACGAACGACAACGAACGTCAAGGACGACGGCGACGGCGGTCACGACCTGACGCAGACGAGGGTGACTAGGGATGCACGGCATGCATCATACGTTGACAAATCATGTATGAAAACAGAAACTGTGTTTGTGTGGTTGTGTGTGTGTGTGTGGTTGTATGTGTGTGTGTGTGGTTGTGTGTGTGTGTGTGGTTGTATGTGTGTGTGCGGTGGGTGGCAGAGCTGGACTCGCTTGAGCTGTGCTGGCGGCGTGTGTGTGTGTGTGTGTGTCGGCATCAAGGTGGAGAGGGAATGGAGATGGTGATGGGAGAGGGTAAGGAGAGGATCGATCGATCCTGGCCTGTGCTGGAGGGAAAGCACATGGATGTCATGGAGATTCGAAGGGATCGGGGGGGGGGGGACAGATCCGAAGGGGGATATGGTATGGACAGGCACATCCGTATGTAGACGCGGCGCTAGATGGCAAGCTCCGTGCGCTCAAAGGGGGCGCAAAGGGGGCGTGTAGGTGTGATATGACTCATGTGTGGTGGGATACTTTTAGGAGAAGCAAGTGGTGCTGAACGTGTACGACATGGTGTGGCTCAACGAGTACACGGCGTGGGCTGGTGTGGGTGTATTCCACTCGGGACTTGTCATCGACGACACCGAGTACGCGTATGGCGGTCACGAGTTCGAGTCGTCCGGCATCTTTACCGTCTCGCCCGGCACTGCGCCGGGGTGCGAGCTGCGGACGTCGATCCTGCTGGGTGCGACCCGGTTGGACAACACGGAGATCAGGCGGCTGGTTGACGACATGGGGCGTGAGTTCCTCGGCTCCGAGTACAACCTGCTCTCGCGCAACTGTAATCACTTTGCCGACGCCTTTGCCCGCCGCCTAATTGGACAAGGCATTCCCGGCTGGGTCAACCGTCTGGCTACGATCGGCACCTGGTTTCCGTGCCTCCTCCCAGCGTCGCTGGTCCCGCCGACGCCGGAGAGCGCCGGCGTCGACGGAGGCTTTGTTGCTTTTGCCGGCGAGGGCCGCGCGCTCCGGGCCGGCGGCTCGGACGCGCCAGCACCGTCGGCGTCGGGCGGGGCTGCCAGCAGCGCCGCCGATGCCGACGAGCGAGCGCTGATGCGCGAGCGCGCCGCTGCTGCTGCCGCCAAGCGGTGGGGAGCTTCGTGAGCTGACACTGCTGACAGAGGTCACATGTTCATTGTCTCCCACAGGCAGCCGACGACAGCGCGACCTAGATTCCCATGCCCGGCGCGCTAGCGGCGGCGCGAGCGCGAGGCAGCGCGCTCGGCAGCTCGAAAGGCCGAGGCCGGAATGAGGAAGCCGTACGAGTCCCGGTAGGCATCAGCGAGGGCTGGGTCGGCGAGCGGCAGCTGCTCCGGCTCTTCGGCGAGGAGCACAAACTGGGCAGCGACAAACGAGTCCGGCAGCTCCATGACGTGGGCGACGATGATGTAGCCAATGATGAGGCCACCAATGCCTGCGGTGATCCACGTGTACTCGCCGTCGACTGAGGCGGTGCGGGTGGCCCAGAGAGCCGAAAACGCGCCGCAGACGAGGGCGCCGGCGATGGCGCCAAAGAAGAACACCAGTCCGGTGAGAACCTCGTTGATGATGCCCGAGACGCCGTGTGAGTTGATGAGGTCAAAGGTGTCCTTGGCGGCGCGGATGTACGACTTGCCGTAGATGGCAACCTGCGTAAAGGCGTACACGTTGAACAGCTCCATCAGTGACTCGATGCATGAGAGGATCATATTGATGACGCATGCGAGGAAGCCACGCGAGTCGGCCGCGTTGAGCGCGTACCGCACCAGCGACCGGATGGTCTTGAGGATGGCCACCACCAGCGAGCCAAAGCAGATCGGGCCAAGCGACGTCGTCATCGCCCGCTTCAGCGACGACGCCAGCGGCGAGTTGGCCCGTCCAGGGCCCTTGGCCGACGCCGCAAAGTACCACGCCGCAACGCCGCCTGACACCGTAACGTGCATCACGTTGCGGATGACCTGCGTCGTCCAGTACAGCGAGAGGAGGAGAAAGACCGCAAGCCCAAAATCGCCCGTCGACGAGAAGCCACCGGCCAGCGGCGCGCTCACCACCACAGACCACAGCAGAAGCCACGCCACAAGCACCACAAGCGTTGCCGCCGCCACGGCAAACGATGCCGGATGGCCAAACACCCACGTCGTCGACGCCCGCAGCATCGCCTTGGAGAACTCGAGCCGATCGCGCCACGAGTAGAAAAAGTACCCGTACAAGCCAGCCAGGACTAGAAACATGATGCCGTAGAGGAGGATCCCGGCTGCAAACAGGACGACCGCCACCGCAACAAGGAGCACAATGTACCCCACCATGCAAACAGGGATCATGATCCCCGCCCCGGCCCGCGACAACGCCATCCATGCCGCCGCAAAGAACGATGCAATCACCGCTGCACCAAGCCAGATCCCGAAAAGCTCAGAGTCCACCCAGTCAGCCGCAGCTCCCGTCACCTTGCCCGTCCGCACCAGTGTATCGTCCCATCGCGCCGCGAGCACAACTACAAACGCCACAAGATGAACCAAAACAGAAGAAGGAAAGCCACGTCCTGCCACTTGCCAAACTCCTGCCCGTACTCCATCTGCGGGCGTGACATCTCCGAGTCTGTCCCCAAATCCAGCCGACCGCCCCCCCCAGCCACGCCACTACCGTGAGTCTGATTGTTCCCGAATTCCAAACCGTCGCTCAGCCATGTGCCCAACATGATCACCCACTCACAGCCTCAGCCCCTCCCTCCCCCCCTCCCCCGGTCATAGCCAAGACAGTCAACCAAGCAAAAGACGACGTTCTTTTCCCCCGAGTCCCTCCAGCTCGAGCCCCAGACCCATGCTCTTCGCTCAAGCCATACCTTGCCGAGCTGGGCCGAGCTGGGCCGAGTTGTCCCGAACTGTTCCATGGTAGACACTCCCCCCCCCCCTCGCCCCCGTCATCATCAACATGGGTATTCTCATCCTCATAACGTACACTCCTCAGAGTATGTCGCGGTGGCTCGAGTCACACTACCATACGAGGTCGACCCAGTCTCAGAGTCCGATGCACGGCCCATGCTGCAATGCTCTTCTGCCTTGCGTGTCTGGAGATGAGTATCGATGCTGAAGCTGACGTGCGCAGAGTTCCTGAAGTACGGCGGTGACGATCATGCCGCTCATTCTCGGTATCGCGAGCATGTTCCAACACTGATCACCCACCATCCGCCTTGCACGAACTTGATCGGTGTTTGGTGCATGTGTACGTCGCCGCTTTGGCCAACTCGGCCAACTCTGTCTCACCCAGTCCGGCCAAACTCGCAATGCCGACTTGGAACGCGCATGATCTGTACGTCCAGAACCAAACATGATACTTGCCATCATAACTCCCCCCCCCCATT